GATGATAGCAGGGCTAGGTGCATGTATTTATACTGGATGCATAATAAGTTCCTTTACATCGGGGAAAAGAACCGCTTCATATTCTTTTTCTATCTGCCTGCAGCTCGGGATGGTTTGTAGAACGTTTCACCTCCTCCCGGTAAAAGCGGAGTCACATTTTAATTCTACAACTGCGCCCACAATATGGCGTTCAGCCCAAAGCAGGAGCCGTCCCTGAAACCCGTTACCTGGTAATTCATGAGAATGTGCATAACGTAGTCGTATATTTCCTCCGCAATGTGTCCCTCCGGTCTCCATGGCAACAGTACAAACTGGATCCCAAGAAGAGGCACGAGGATGAGCGTGGCCCGCACGGCTTTCATGTACAGGTTGGATTCGGCCTGGTGTGTCACTTTCAGTTTGGTGATTAAAACGCGGACAATGTTCAGCAGAAAGAAGAGGTTCACCTTAGGGGGAGATAGAAAAGACGCGGACAATATGAGGGAGGGGGAGGAGGGGCGGTACCCTGGCACGTATTCTATATCCTCAGGCAGCAAACCATTCATATAGAGCGAACTAGAGGAGTCATTTCCAGAATATTAACCTGACGACAGGGAAGCTGTTTACTGATAAATACAATTTATATCTTCATCTTGTCATCTCGTTACAACTCGCAGTGATTATATTGTAACTAGGGATGGTAATGATTAAAATGTTCGTGTTCGTGATTAATTTCGATTAACGATAACGCACATACAGATCCAACTACATTGGCCTATACACATACAGCACAGCAATGACCTATACACGTACAGCACAGCAATGAAGTAATAAAATGAACTAGGATCACACTAATCCAGCACGTTATTAATCTCACGTGCCCCACCCAATATGGCCGCCGCTTGAGTGGGGCAACTCAGAATAATAACGTGCTGGATTAGTGTGATCCTAGTTCATTTTATTACTTCATTGCTGTGCTGTATGTGTATAGGTAATTGCTGTGCTGTATGTGTATAGGTCATTGCTGTGCTGTATGTGTATAGGTCATTGCTGTGCTGTATGTGTATAGGTCATTACTGCGCTGTATGTGTATAGGGCAATGCCTTGGCTGGCGCTCGTGCAGAAAGTTTCTTGGGCAAACTCAACGACCCAAGTGGCTCCGTCGGCTAAGGCCCCGTTCACATGTAGCGAATTATCGCGCGATTTCCGCTGCGATATCGCGCATTTTTGCCGCGCGATATCGCGAGAAGTCGCCGGCCAATGCTATTCAATGGAGCTGTCTTAACTCCATGTCGCGCGTCGCTCGTCGCGGTCGCTTCTACCGGACCCTTTTTTCGGCGGATTTTGCGCGATTTTGCCTTTTTTCTATGGCGCCCGACGGAGAAGGTTGCGCTACCGTCGCTGGAACGTCGCCCCGAAAGTCGCGCTATCCCGGCCGTGCGGATCCGCTGCAAAAGGCATGCCGCTACGTGTGAATGGGGTCTCACGAAGGAGCCACTTGGGGAAGGGGGGAGGAGTACGGGTTCTAGATAGGCAGAGCCAGCTGTCACTCACGCAGCTGGGCGGATCCAGACATAATTGTCGGGATCCGCTTCAGCTGCGGTGTCTCAGTATACCGCGAGCTGTGGCTGAGCCTAGGGTGACGGGAGGACGCTAGTTTGTGTCCTCCCGTCACCCTAAGGAGAACTATGGGGAAAAACACTGACCCCATAGTTCTCCTTTAAGGTTATTAAAAGGGTAAAGGTCACATGGGCGATGCGCAGAGTAATACCTTTCATGGCAGGATGATACACGGAGCAATACAAACGTCCCCCAGCTCCCTTTCATGGTACCAGCAGATAACTGATCCAACTACTCAGAGGTTTTAGTTGCATACTTTGCAGGTACATGTGAAGCCAAACGGCCATGCCAAGGCACCTTTCTAAAGTGAGGTCCCCAAGTCCAAGGGATCGGAGTCGTCAGCTACAGGCACTCAAATTGCTCTTCAGCACCATTTGGGTCGCTTGCATATAATGTCCTTCTCACATCTCTGCCGTAATGATTTGACAACAATTCACTCTCTGAATTGTGGGGAGACAACTGAGGGAGGACTACGGCAGGGGCGTATCTGCCGCGAGGCAAACAAGGCGTTTGCCTGGAGCGGCAGATTCGCTGAGAGCGGCACCCCGAGCGTGACTCACCTGGATGGGATGACCCGGACGTCGGCCTGGAGAGTGGACGGCGTGTGCGGGCGGCGGTGATTTAAGGTGAGTCTGTAAGCCCGGGGGAGGGGTGCTGTCGGAGAAGAGCGAAGGGGTC